GAGCAGAGAAGAAAATTTTCAAAGATTTAATGTATTTTCACTATATAATCAATAGAGCCCAGCCCTTAAACCAGAACCCCTGACCCTGGGGCTATAAAATTCAAAATTTTGGTAGAGGCACTCTTTCTCATCACAACTATGTACTTAGTTAGTTTATTTAATACCTAGGAGCAGAGAAGAAGATATTCAAAGAATTCATGTATTATCACTATATAATCAATAGATCCTCACCCTAACACCAGAACCCCTGATACTGGGGCCATAAAATTCACAGTTTTTGTAGAGGCACTCTTGCTCATCATAACTATGTACTTAGTTGGTTTATTTAATACCCAGGAGCAGAGAAGAAGATTTTCAAAGAAATAATGCATTTTCAATATATACTTATTTAGCCCTGCCCTAGCACTAGAACCCCTGACCCCAGGGCCATAAAATGCACAATTTTGGTAGAGGCACTCTTGCTCATCATAACTATGCACTTAGTTAATTTATTTAATACCTACGAGCAGAGAAGAATATTTTCAAAGAATTCATGTATTTTAACTATATAATCAATAGAGCCCCGCCCTAACACCAGAACCCCTAACCCTGGGGCCATAAAATTCACAATTTTGGTAGAGGCACTCTTTTTCATCATAACTATGTACTTAGTTAGTTTATTTAATACCTAGGAGCAGAGAAGAAGATTTTCAAAGAATTCATGTATTTTCACTATATAATCAGTAGAGCCCTGCCCTAACACCAGAACCCCTGACCATGGGGCCATAAAATTCACAATTTTTTGTAGAGGCACTCTTGCTCATCATAACTATGTACTTTGTTGGTTTATTTATTACCCAGGAGCAGAGAAGATTTTCAAAGAAATAATGCATTTTCAATATATACTTATTTAGCCCCACCCTAGCAGTAGAACCCCTGACCCCAGGGCCATAAAATGCACAATTTTGGTAGAGGCACTCTTGCTCATCATAACTATGCACTTAGTTAGTTTATTTAATACCTACGAGCAGAGAAGAAGATTTTCAAAGAATTCATGTATTTTAACTATATAATCAATAGAGCCCCACCCTAACACCAGAACCCCTGACCCTGGGGCCATAAAATTCACAATTTTCGTAGAGGCAATCTTTCTCATCATAACTATGTACTTAGTTGGTTTATTTAATACCTAGGAGCAGAGAAGAAGATTTTCAAAGAATTCATGTATTTTCACTATATAATCAATAGAGCCCTGCCCTAACACCAGAACCCCTGACCATGGGGCCATAAAATTCATAATTTTGGTAGAGGCACTCTTGCTCATCATAACTATGTACTTAGTTGGTTTATTTAATACCCAGGAGCGGAGAAGAAGATTTTCAAAGAAATAATGCATTTTCAATATATACTTATTTAGCCCTGCCCTAGCACTAGACCCCCCGACCCCAGGGCCATAAATTTCAAAATTTTGGTAGAGGCACTCTTTCTCATCATAACTATGCACTTAGTTAGTCTTTTTAATACCCACGAGCAGAGAAGAAGATTTTCAAAGAATTCATGTATTTTCACTATATAATCAATAGAACCCCGCCCTACATTTGTAACACCAGAACCCCTGACACTGGGGCCATAAAATTCACAAATCTGGAAGAGACTCTCTTGCTCATCATAACTGTGTACTTAGTTTATCTAATATCCAGGAGCAGAGAAGAAAATTTTCAAAGAATAAATGCATTTTCACTATATAATCAATAGAGCCCTGCCCTAACACCAGAACCCCTGACCATGGGGCCATAAAATTCATAATTTTGGTAGAGGCACTCTTTCTCATCATAACTATGTACTTTGTTGGTTTATTTAATACCCAGGAGCAGAGAAGAAGATTTTCAAAGAAATAATGCATTTTCAATATATACTTATTTAGCCCTGCCCTAGCACTAGACCCCCTGACCCCAGGGCCATAAATTTCACAATTCTGGTAGAGGCACTCTTTCTCATCATAACTATGCACTTAGTTAGTCTTTTTAATACCCAGGAGCAGAGAAGAAGATTTTCAAAGAATTCATGTATTTTCACTAAATAATCAATAGAACCCCGCCCTACATTTGTAACACCAGAACCCCTGATACTGGGGCCATAAAATTCACAGTTTTTGTAGAGGCACTCTTGCTCATCATAACTATGTACTTAGTTGGTTTATTTAATATCCAGGATCAGAGAAGAAGATTTTCAAAGAAATAATGCATTTTCACTATATACTTATTTAGCCCCGCCCTAGCACTAGAACCCCTGACCCCAGGGCCATGAATTTCACAATTTTGTTAGAGGACTCAATGCTAATTACAATCACGCAAACAGTTTGACTGCTTGATGTAAAGAAGAAGATTTTTTAAAATTGCATTAATTTGAGTGGTTTTGGTCCCACCCCTCAGGCCCCAGGGGAGCAGGGACATTAAATTCACAATTTTTGTTCCCCTTCACCTATTGATGCTTTGTGCCAAATTTGGTTGAAATTGGTTTAGTAGTTGCAGAGAAGAAGCTGAAAATGTTCAAATGTTAACGCACAACTCACGACGCACTAAGACAGACGGAAACCGATAGCAATAGGTCACCTGAGTTTACTCAGGTGACCTAATAAAAGAGCTCTTACCCTGTTTACAAAAAAACTGTTTATGCTTCGGATGTATTCATTTTTTTAAACTCTTGACAGAACACTTGAGCATGGACTGATGATACTATTGAGCCTGTTTTACTTTCAAACATATCTTCTCTGAATTTTCTGTATTGTAGATTTAATATTTATTTCAATGAATCTCTTATACTAAATTAAAAAAAAAAATTTCCTTTCAATAACGTTGGGGGGGGGGGGAGGGGGGGGGGACATCAGTATCAGTATGGAATTTTAAAGAACTATTTTTATCCAATGTAGAAAAATTAATCCTTATTTTCACCTGAAAGGTCATTTGCAGGTAGATATAGTAATAACATAGTATTTTTTTTATATAATGTTGAAGCTTGGACTGTCAATGAAAAAATGATAAAATTAATCTTATAAATGAATATTTACTACGAGAAAATTTTCGTCTCTATAAATTGTCATAGAGGCATAAACAATATATGAGTAATTGTATTCCCCATTTTCAAAAGTGAGTTATCTCCCCTCAAAATCGGAACTCTTCAACACTAGCATAACTTCCGCGGACTACATGTTACGATAATCCAACAAAATAGTGATCAACTTACACGCTGCATTTAAAAATTTTAAAAGAAGGAAACGGTGTGCATTTTTTTTAGATAATAAATTATTTTATAAAGGGTCTGTTAGCCCCCCCACCCCTTTCTAGAAAGCTATACGAATTAGCCAGGCACGTAGCATCGTCTTTAAAAGTCGGGGGGGGGGGGGGGTAGCCAAAGAAATATTTTTTTCTTACCTGGAAAAGTTGGCAAGCAAAAAAAAACCTTGCCCAAAGTTGAAAAAGCTACTTATTTCAGTACCAGTTCCTTTGCATACAATACTACATTTCCCTTATATAACTTTACCGTAGTATAAACTGTGTGTGTGTGTGGGGGGGGGGGGGTTGGCAACCTGTCTATCAATGAACATTTTCAATAGAAAAAGTAATATTGGGAAAAAAGTGGGGGTGGGGCTAAACCCCTTGACCCTCCCCCCCCCTCGGTGCGTACAGGTACAGAGAATATGTAAATGGGTTGAACAGTTGAATATGAACCATAGTTGTGAAAATTAAAAATTATTAGAATTTTTAATTGTGAATTCAATAAAATTACGGTACATATATTTTTTCACAGATGTACATGTATGTCAGTTACACGGAGTCTCTCTCTCTCTCTCTCTGATTGTTTTTTACACATGTTGCAAAAAAAAAGAATAACTTATAAAAATAAATACATGTACTTACACTGAAAGGATTTAAAAAAAAATAAATAACACTTGAGAAAAGATTGTTTTCAGTTAATTAACGAGAAATACGCTAGGAAATTATTGTATCAATTTCGTGTTTCTGCTTTCAATTCTCTGATCTAAAACAAATGTGTATTTTACTCGGGAATATACATGAAATTATGCTTAGATCCTACACTAAAACTTTGATAAAATGCAGCTCAGACTTTAAACGTCATATGTAACACGAATTCAGGACGATGCTATTTTAATTAGTCTTTCTTCGTTACATGAGCACATGAGATTAAATTATTCATTTAGAATTCCATTCAAAGTTTTAATACTATATAGTGAATCAATTATTTTACAAATAAAAAATTCTAGAAACACGGTTAATTCAAATGAAATAGGCCTTTAATTGTCACCAAATGTGTTCTTGTAAGTAAAAGTTCTATGTTATGACATACAATCGAGCAAAAACGCAGTTTCTTGGTATCGGTCGCGGAAGACGAACTACTGCTGTATATGCAGCAATTTCAGAGGTAAAACTGTAGATGGACATGTCATCAGTCTTCAAAAAATTCCTAGAGATACAATGAAAATATGGCTGCAGCAGGCTAGATTACTATTCATAAAACCTTTATAACTAAAAATTTGTTCCGCACATTTTGTAAATAATGATGATCCGTCTGCAGAACATCCACTACCGAAATTAGCTTTTTTTGTTTTTGTTTTTTTTTTTGTTTTTTTTTTAAATAGGCCTATTCGAATATGTATCAGCATTTTATCAGTAATTTGTTTCTTTCTTTTTTTTTTTGTAAGGGGGGGGGGGGTCACACAGCACCTTATTATAGTACTACACAGATTAATACAAGTCCAGAAAGAGACTATGAGTGGGCAATTTAAAAAAAAATACGAATCAGTTAAGATTTCTTTTTATTCACAAACACAATAACATTTTTCCATATGACAGAGGCATACACCATGAACATGTTTACATCAAGAACGTCCGCGGAAGTGACTTTATTTATAGCGCATGCGTATTAAACACAGTAAAAGAGTTCCCTTCAGGGGAAATAACTCACCTTTTGAAAATGGGGAATATAAAAGTAGCCCTAGAGTCATAATGAAAAAAAACCATCTACAAATGGTAAACAGGACTTTACATTCAACAATGCATTTTACATGCATATTTCATTACAAGATTTTCAACAAATAATTTTCTTTTACATAAAATATTCATGAATCATTCCAACAATTTTCACCACACATTTGGAAAAACTACATCTCAGCTATTTCTCCTGCAGGATTCAAAATAAATCAAAGACAGCCCAGATCACTGAAATTGATAGCTCTCTTACACCACCATTTAACTGCCTCCAGTATACAGAAGAATGATATTAATCCCATTCAAAAAAATGAAGATCATTCACTTGTAACAGAGGAACGTGTGTCATGTGACAGGAATGGGTAACTTTGTAACTCCAAGAGCTATGTTCTTTTTATAGCAATCCAAACTACACAAGGGAATTCCTGTCTTGGAACATGAGTACCTCTTCAAGTTTTTACATCCACTGACTCCACACATTGCACGTGGCTTAGGAGGCCTACAATGTAAATTATACTGTAAATATAAATCATACTGAAAGTCTTTAAGGTTATATTTATAAGGTAAAAAATAGAAAGTTACAAAATTGATGAAAATTAAAATAAATTGGATGATATTTTTTTAAGTTGAGAAAAAAAGATTTAGATTTAATTGATATTTCATTTCCCCCTTCATGTTTGTTGCAATAAAGGCATTCTGCATGCCGTGCTCATCCATCATCTTTGTCCATTTTGTAAAAAACATGTAACTTCAGTGGAAACCTATGAGTAAAAATTTAGCATCAGCTTGCAGAGGGTATAATGATAGTCTGTCGGTCGGTATTTCAGTCTTGTTCTTGTCACTTTAGTTCCTCTGAAGCAGCTCAATAACATTTCATTTAACTTTGTAGTTAACTAAGGACTTAATCTGATGATGTGCATAATGAACAAACTGATAAATCTTATTAATCCAGTACAGTGTATATGACTTTTGCTCCTAACTTGCCTTGTCAAAAAATCAATTAAGAAATAAAGACCTTATCCTTAACTTACACTGCAGAAAAAATGAAAATATTAGAGAGGTTGAGATCTTAAACTTGTACGCGTACGTGTACTTGTAGAAATTTTGACGTACACGTACACGTTATTTTTAATTTGTCTGTTGAGATTTTTATGACGTGTAACATGTACGTGTACACTGCGATCGGTGTCTCTGTTTCAACTATTTAGAAAGTTTTTTGTCGTCAGTTTGTAAACAAAACTTGATGAAAATAAGTGCTCGTGAAAGTAAACATCCTATATAATGTATAACAATCACATTTTCACTCTTAAATTGGCTAATTTTTATTATTAAAGCTACACGTTTTCACTTACGTGTAGATTCCATTCTACAAGTTTTACGAACGTGTAGCAATTTTGACGTAACTTAAATTGATTACGTAATATACACAGAATTTAGGTTATTCCCCTACTAGACGTACCCGTACACGTTTGAAATCTCAACCTCTCTATTGAAAGAATTTTATTTTAATTTATCCAGTACAAACGTGAAACATGTGGAGATAACGAACAGTATTCAAGATTAAAATACCACAAAACAATACCAAAGCGGAGCAGAGCAAACATGGACCTCCAAAACATCAGAAGTATGATCAGGTGCCATGAAGGAGTGAGCATCCCTTGCCAACTGGTCACACCTGCTGCAATCCTTGTCATGTTCGGGAAATAGTCCAAGTATAACATGAAAATTGATAGAGCACTGACATGTTGATAGAGATACCATTCTTTACTCTATCAAAAGTTTAAAAAAAAAAAAGAAGATTAACTTACTCTGCTTTTTGAGGAAGAAAAGGGAACTGTATTCCCACAGGAACACTTATGGAGATCTCAGATCTGTTGTTGATGTAGCGGACCCTGGGTATGTTGCTTTTCCTTGAACCTTTGACCTTCAACATTAAGAGTTATTTTAACATCTTAAAAAAATTACACTATATCATTATTAGTTCTGTAATCTTTTTTCATCAGAGTAGAAATGTTGTCTAATATCTAATTATTCTCTCCTTTGGATGAATTTTCTGACACCACCATATTAGGTCAAACACACAATGAAAAGGAGAATAATTCAATTTTCTATTAAAAAATTATAAAAAAAAAAAAACAACTTTAAATATTCATTATATTTCAAAAAGTCAAAGATCAAGAGAAATAAAAAAAAAATTATTTTGTTGTCAAAATCTTTTTTAAAAAATTTTTACCTGCTTTAAAATAAAAAAGACATATTTTTGGTCTGAGCAATTAAAAAAAAATTGTACCTTGGTTATTTGGCTTCAAAAGTCACATATTGTTCAAAGACTTAACATGATACTATTCTTTATTTTGGACAACCAATTCAAATCAGGTCATAGGTTTACATAATAGTCAAAGATTTCTAAGATATTGTCAATCTTTAAGAGTCAAAAAACATGAAACATCCTTTGAAATGTTGAGAAGAAAATACAAGTTGAATGTACCTTTGGGCCCTTGGATTTTGTCTCCTGCTTTTTAAGAAGTCTGTCTAAAGTTTGTTTCTGTTGAAAAAATTAGAAAAACATCAATATTTTTGAAGTAAAGAAATTCATGTATTAATATTATTTGAGTGCATTAAACATTTGCATTTTCTGCTAACTTATGTATACTACATTCATTTCATTATGATTATACAGTTGTTTTAATACATAACTGCTTTTCAAATATAAAAATGTTCTACATATATTC